GTTCTATATTTTTCTCACCATAGCCCTACAATATGAAGCTCTCTTGCTAAGCAGATGTGATTTTTGTAATCAGCAGGTTGGATAACCTCTATGAGCAAGTTTTCGAGATGTTCGGGTTATTTCATTTTTTCCTCGCTTTACGCTCTGAAGCTTGCCGATGGATTTTGGTCAGAATGTTGATGATTTTGAATTGTGAGGAAACTTCGCTTACAGAGGTTTTTGGACACGCTTTTACGAAAATGTGGTCTTTAAGGAATATAGGGTATTTTTACAGAGATTTGGTGAGGTAACCGTAACTGAGTCACGAAATTGCGTAACTTTGCCTACACTTCTCGCGTATCTGTCGGAAAACTTGCCCGCTTGCTTTTGTAGATTAATTTCACTGGAAACTGTGCCACCGAACAATGCATGTCTCAGACTTTACAAAAATCGCCCAGTTACGAGCCTACGATATACATCCTCACGAATTTTGTACAAAATGTAAAGATCGCGTACTTCGTCGATCCACCGTGAGTGGTTGCATGACATTCTGATTGCAAATATCATGTTCAGTTCGTCCAAGGAATCCCATTGTATTGAATATTGGTGGTTGGGTGTGCTTCAGGTGCTTAATCAAATATCAAAGCAGTTTCGTAACTGTAGCTCAGATTTGTCTAACTATCGTAGCCAACACGGAAAGATTTATCAAGCGAATTGAACTGATTTGACCAGCGTGTTATACAATCACTCAAAAGGTGGAATTTCGACGAAGTACGTGATATTTTCAATTCGTACAAAATTCTTGAGAATGTAGTTCGTAGCACGTAACTGGGCGACTTTTGTAAAGTAATTTCTGAGACATGCACTGTTCGATGGCACAGTTTCCAGTGAAATTAATCTACAAAAGCAAGCGGGCAAGTTTTCCGACAATACGTGAGAAGTAGTTACGCACTTTCGTGACTCAATCAGTTACCTCACCGTATCTCTGCAAAAAGGCCCTGTATCCTCCCAAGACCACGATTTTCGTAAACATCGTGTCCGAAAACCTATGTAAGCGAAGATTCTTTACAATTCAAGATCACCACATTTTGACCAAAATCCATCGGCAAGCTTCAGAGCGTAAAGCGAGGAAAAAATGAAATAACCCGAACATCTCAAAAACTTGCTCATAGAAGTTATCCAACCTGCTGATTACGAAAATCGCCTCTGCTTAGCAAGAGAGCTTCGTACTTTGAGGCTATGGTGAGAAAAACATAGAACGACATGATTTTTCCGGAATTCACCAGCCCTCCTATTTCTTCTTGAAAGAAATGTGCCTCTAATTCCTGGTGCGCCATGATGTACAGGACAAGTACTATCGAAAGCTTTTGCTGATATCTACTAGGGGCAATACGCGCTGCTTTTCTCCTGTTTGAATAGACGTTCGCAGAAAGTTTCAAGAATACTGAAGTCAAAATGGACATGCCCTATATCGAAAGATTAACCTGATGAGCTGAGCACAATGCTTGCTTCGGGTTGAAAGAACAGTAAATATTCACTCTAAAGGAAGTTACGGCGAGTAGAATTTGGAAACGCGTGATTTTTCCAGAACTCCCCAGCCATTCTATTTTCTTTGCAAAAAAGGCTGCGGCTACTAGTTAGCGCACTATAATCTGCAAAAACAGCACTATCGAAAAGTACTTACTGGTACCTTTCAAGTTGGATAGGCGCTGCGTTGCATCCTTGCGAAAGGACTTCCGCAGAAGATTTCTATAGAAGACATGCACATCAAAAGATTCGCCTTGATGGAACACATGCCGCTTTTGAATTCAGAATATAATAATAGTAGATAATGTTTATATTTTAGTATTATAACTTTAGAACTCCTTTTCGTTCCCATTCTTAGACGGAGTATTGTTTAATTTCAATGCCATCCCCGGGACACTCCAGTAAGGAATGATGGCTTATGTTATAATTAGCTTTTCTTTTTTATATACTATCAAATGGCTGTTAGAACTCATAATCAAAATATTCATTCACAAAATATGTTAATTTTTGATACGTTTCATTAAGTTAATCCCAAGTGCTTTGTAAAAGAGATAGTTTTTATCAATTTTTGAGATTATTGACTTATCTGGGTCCGTTTAAAGTTTCAAAAGGTTTTAGGTTTTAAGGTTTCAATATTGTCCTCTACTTGAATTCCTTATGTTTTCGTCCGTTGAAGTCTCATGTCGAACTCCTTTCTTCTTAGCTCCAATCTTCTCAATGTAGGGCAGTTCCCTGGTGATATTAGTCCCTAGATGAATGTCCCCAAAGGTGTCGAACTTGTTATTGAATGAATTATTCATAATCATTATCGAAGGGTATCAGTTCATTCCGATACATGGCCATGAATGGTGGAGAATGGTGAATGTTACTGCTTTAGACCATCAACAACGAAGGACAAAGGACCAGATGTACTCAACAACCCCCTGGGCACGCGCCGAACGCACACCACTGCACACCGGAAGAGGCAATTGTATGTATGCGATAATGAGCCGCGGGGCCAGTCGATCAGCAAGTCAATGCCCTTATCCTCCCAGAACATTCCAACACCAATTAATTGTCTCTGGAGAGCAGAAGGTCTGGCTGGCCCAGGATCGCTGGCCCAGGATCGGGATCGAACTTGAGCCCGACCCGGTCACAGCGGCGTCCCCCATCACCACGAACCGTCCCCAGGTAGATGATCCAAATGACCAGCACCGTAGGTCCACCACGCCATAGTCAACAAGTCCGTCGTTGACAAAACACCACTGTTCATCAAGCCTCAAGTCGTCAGGTTATCTTTCATCATGTTCGACAGTCCCTGGCGCTACACACCATGTAGTCAATCTCTGACTCCATGTGACGTTGTTTGCCGGAAATAAGCTCTAGGCCGTCAATGCCCAAGTTAGTGGCATAGGAGGATGCCTACTTAGTTCGGTGTTGGTTTGACTATTATTAACATCGTCAGCGGCTGTCCTATGCGACTCAGTGCAGTGTTGACAGTCAGTGTCCGCCCTGTTATTATCCAAAAACAACTGCATAATGCAGTGGTATCGGTTTGATTCATCCAAATTTATGACATGTACAAGTAAATACTTGGTTATGAGCAGAATTCGCACGAATCCGCGTCGCGTTGTTGCGATACCACAGCCCTTCTCAGTCAGTGACCTCGTTTCAATTTAACATGCGGCACTTAACTTCATAAATATCGTTCACCTTCACTCCTTTATTGAGAGCTGCGTCTCCCACCTTAAAGGATCCACATGTCCAATTTGGTGAGGTGTGCTTGTACATCCGCCGATTCCCAATCGGACTCCACATGGTAGGTGGTCTTCGCCGACTCGACTGGTGAAACCCAATGCTTGGTCATCTCGATGTACAAGATTGTCCAACAAGTTAATGATGTTATCGACTGTATATTCCGAAAGTCGTGTCACCTCAGTATCCCAGTGCTCTAGGGGGTATAGATATCCGTGACCTGCACGAAAATTGCACGAGTGGTCTGAGCCTTGACGGCGACACTAGCGGTGTATGGCATTATCCGTTGTCCATCGGTGTGGAACACAGTTCAACCAATTCTTTATGTCCAATGTCTTTCAATAGAGTCGCATGCGAATTAGCCATGCGAATTTATTTTGTAGGAAGTCGTGACGCTGCGTAATTTGCGATATTCGGAAAAATTTTGCACATTTTGTAAGTGGTATTGTACCAAACACTGGACAAAAATTTATCTGAAGCGGAGCCGCGCAAACAAATAAACTTATCTATCGGCCAACCTAATTATGGTTGTGTTTCCCTTAGAAAAATTTGAGCAAGTGCACTGATTGTGTTCTGTTTCTATTATGTGTGAAGCGGGAGGTTCCGTTTAAGGCGAAGGTAATTGGGAATTATTGTACGGAACTTTACTTACATTAATCACTGTTCATACAAATCGGTCATCTTTGCAACTTGCTCTACCTTGTGTACCTGCGAAGCAATTTTCATCTGTAAAAGAAGTTACCAGCCTTGATGTGAAAAGCCATGTTATATTTTTTTTTACAGACTCATTTAGACAGGCGTCATACTCGTCGAGGAGTACAGCGCCTGATTCGATCGATATGCATTAAAGGCAGTGTCCGGGCGAAAACTCGATTTTGGGATTTTGTGCTTACCCGGGCCTATTCGCTATGCTGAACCCTAAAATCCACATTGGAGAGCGCAAAAACGACGAAAAAGGGCTCTAACACTGGAGAGAAATCAGCAAGTGGCGGGTTTTCCCCACTGTGAGTTCACGCTCCCAGCTTCGGGGGCGATCTTTTTGATTCCGGTTTCAAGTCATTCGTTTGCACTTGATCGGTAGTGATGTCAGGGCGGCTAACGGATTCGAGAAAATTGCTCTGGAAGCTAGAAGCGTGAATTCACAGTGGGGAAGACCCCGCCCACTTGCTGATTTCCCTCCACTATTAGAGCCCTTTTTCGTCGTTTTCGCGCTCTCCAATGTGGATTTTCGGATTCAGCATAGCGAATAGGCCCGGGTGAGCACAAAATCTCAAAATCGAGTTCTTGCCCGGACACTGCCTTTAAATACGAGTAAAATCGGCGATCGTTGTAGATGATATTGGCGTTCGCGGCTGGCCACTGGCTAGTCGCCAATGTTGGCGATTCCACGTTGGATGCGTATCGATTAGACATGTGGTGATTGGTTAACGGTCGACGGAAAGTATAGCCTCCAATTAGGGGCTGGGACGCTGCCAGTCGTAGTGACTGGCGATCTTCAGTTTTGGCGGCTACACATTGGATACGTATTAATCGGATTAGTAAAGACATGCCAACATCCAATAGCTATCTGAAGTGCAGTTGCCAACTTCAGCTGGCAATGAGGGAAAGATGCTATATTCCTCGAGGAATACAGCGACTGCCTTACTTGAAATTTTTATGCAAATTATTTTTTTACTTGGACCATCTATGAAGTAAATATGCGCAGCAATCAACAAATCTTCTAGCACAAGTTTGAAGTATTGTTCGACTCTCCATTTCAGATGGATCGAATCCTCGCCTTCCGCCGTTTGCTTTTAGTGGTGATGAAAAACACGTTGGTACAAAGTCACTCAACGAGGTAAGCATTTTTCTACTTTTTATCAAAGCACATGGTTTTCTAAACCTTATTGCAGCTTGAATCGATTCAATCGGTGACAACAACGCTTTCACCTACTACTGCGTTTGAAGACGCAAGAGTAGCTGACTCTTTGGCAGAAATGGATCGTATGGAAGCTGAGCAGGTAACGGGATACCGAGCAAGAAATTTTTTTCATTTTTGACAATCTCCAATCTTGACTGATAGCAAAAACCTCAGAAACAAGCAGCTTCGTGGCAATCTGCAAGAGCCATCGGAGCCGCTGGAGCACAAATACCGCCGATGGAAAGTGTGGAAGAATCTGTGGATACGGTAGATACTTTACAGTTGTGTAAACATCTTCACCTAGTCGAGTGTGTTTAGGTGATTGAATTAGGCTCTACCTCAACTGTAGCTTCCACAGAAGCGCCATCTGGTACGGAGTCTTTGGATCCAATTGCAGAGTACAATCGTAAAATCGTAGAGGTTAGAGCATATTTTTTCTATAATAACCGTGGCTGATCGAGAGTCAACGAATACGGGATACGAATAAAATTTTGAACTTTCTAAAAAAAACGCTCATAGTTTACACATGACTATGCACACTTACAAAGCATTACACTCCTCAGATCAAACTTTAGAAAAAATTCCGAGAGAGGGGAACGTAGACACCGTCACTTTATTTACTAGAACTTCAGACTGGAAACATTTAAAGTTTGTTCTGAATACGCAATCTACACCACGCCCATCTAATCATGACGTTTGATTTTGCTCTCACCGCCGTAAGAAATTTCTTAAGCCGTTGCTGGTAGGATACGACTTCAAAAGAAAATTTATATGTGATTTTATTAGTTGAAAAAGATAGTGCATTATAGTTGGCCAGAAGACGAAGATTATTGAAGGAACAAGGCTACAAGGAGTACAAAAAAATAAATTTTAAGGTTAGTTCTAATGTGCCATTTCCTTTTGCGCGATCTCCCACATATGAGCAGTAACCGTTCGAATTCTTTAGAGTGGACGCAACATCGTTCCTGTTCGGCTTTTCTTTGACACTGATCCTCATCCTGAAATGCTACTGGAAGAGTCATTCAAGCGTTCTATCAGTTCCCCAGCTGAAACTGATAAAACCACCAAACTTGTGGCAAGCGCTGAGAAAACTTTTGACGGTTTAGCTGTGACAAATCAATTTCAAACGACGTCTAAACAAGCGCTACTGCTCAGCTCGGAATCACCTACACCGTCCACCATAGCCATTACCAAAAGTTCCGTACCTGTAAGAGAGCAAATTTTGATCACAGGTGTAACAAAGGGCGTAGAAGATATTGATGGAAGTGGATGGCCACCCACGACGACTATAGGAAGTGCAATAGACGCGCAGGAAGAGCTTCTTACTGCTGGTCTGCACACTGGTGAAGTTGGGAAAACAACTCAAGCGCTCAATCTGAAGCCTAAACCAATCGTTTCGGGAGAAGTGATAGAGAGCAGTGTTACCACATTTGAAGCAAATCCTCCAGCGACAACCAAATTCACGGGCACTGCAAGTTCTGAGACGCATCCAACATCATCTGGCTCAGGCACTTCACTATCAGGATCGGAATTCGATCTTTCTTCGAATACTGATGCGTTTTTACCGACAAATATTGGAGAACAGTCAACAAATGTTGCTACCAACCCGTCATCATCTAGCATAACTACTGCTATTAAGACGATACCTGTTGCTGTTTCTGAATCAAAAATTGATTCTGAAGTAACTACTGCCCTTCGAAGCGCCTTCGATGAGCGGTCGTCTACCACTATTGACATTACTTCGACTACACTCGATTTGAAGACACCTGTTGACATTACAACGGATGCTGAAAGAACTTTTGAAAGCTTGAAGTCTAAATCTGGCACTAAGGCCCCAAAGAAAAGTGCAGCCAGGACCACTGTTAGCGATTCGTTATCAAAGATACCCGACTCTGAGCAGTCGACGAAGATCACGACGGGAGCAATCAGTACTGGAGAGTCTTCTGAAATTGCAAAGGCTTCACAAATGGCCTCCGATAGTCAATCTTTAGAAGCTGGTGCCAGTTCGCCAATTTCCGCAGAAGGCACCTCTTCCGATTTCGCAGGTAATGGCGCAACGCACTCTGCAACATTCGATGGCAAATTTTCCTCATTAGACACTGACATTTCCTCAACATCTCATGGCATGACTTCCGATCTTGCAACAAATCCTCAAACAATATCTGATACGAAGTCATCTGTAACCTTGACAAATCCGGCCACATTTGAGCCAGAGTTTGCTAGTGACACTGACAATACCGACGCCCAGTCACCTGCTACATTCGATGCCATTTCGACTGTTATTGCAACAGACGCACAAAGCTCTCCTAGAACCTCATCGTCAAAAGTCGCTTCAACTGACGAACCCACAACATTTTCTGAAGATATCACACGCTTTGAGAAAATGATTGAAGTGCGACCAGCGCCATCTACCCAGAAAGCCGAAGAACCACTGGAAATGATAGCTTTGCCTAAGGAAGAACAAGGTAAGTTTTGCAATTAGAATCATGTGTTTAGTTCCTCAGCTTTTTTCAATCTCATTAATTTACTTCAGAGGGTTAATGCATGAGTCTATGATAAATTACCGAACATTAGATACTCTCAGAGCATCTGAATCAACTTGAAAACTCACAATTGTTAAACTTTTCACGGTGCATGGTATTTTTGCACTATTGTTTGCTGACAGCTTCGTCATGTCGCTTATACTATTTCTTTCGAACTGGGGCTCATTTCACATAAGAAATCCTGGAAATGTTTTTCCAACTTATGGGAATGCACGCTAGCTGTGAAGAAGAATTGTATAACATGAACAGGAAGGGAAAAAGGAGGAAGGATTTGATAGTTAATTACTACGAAAATGCACATAGAGCAAGCATCATTTTGTTTTAACTCGTAAAACGCCCAAAATTTTGCCAGAGTCGGGTTGTTAGTCACACATCGGGGCATTCATAACGAAGGAACAATCTAGGTTGCGTATCCATCCCGAGTTCGTGTACACATCCAAGTGTTGCACTATATGCTTTCGCAACATCTTCCGATAACATGGACATAGAGCGCCTCAAGCTCAGACAATCGCTGGGGGCAGGCGGGCATCGGAAAAATAGATTGCTGATTTCTCGCACCCCGCTCGCGGATTTTTTGCAAAGCAATCAGGACTTTTCGGAAGACCGCTTGCTGAGTCAGCGGATTTTTGAGAGACCGCCTGTTGAATTTTTTTTCGCTCTTATCTTTTGCAGATATATTGCTGAATCTCTGAGGAATCGAGAACTCAGCAAGCGGTCTTCCGAGAAGTCCTGATTGCTTTCCAAAAAATCCGCGAGCGGGGTGCGAGAGATCAGCAATCTATTTTTCTGATGCCCGCCTGCCCCCGGCGATTGTCTGAGAGAAAGTTAGCTTTCCGATGATTAATTGGATAATTTTTGTAACTTTGCTTATTGGAACTAAAAGGTGTGAGAAGCCAGTAAGAAAAGTTCAAAAAGCCTTGAGTACAATTTATCGAAGCAGTATTGCTATTGTCCCTTACTGCATTGCACTTACATAGGAGACGGGATGTTTTTGATACCGGCCGAGTCCCGCAAAGTCCTGTTAGGATTTAAACACTTACCATTATGCAACTTTTATTGGCGGATGTAAGGAATGGCTTTGCACAAATCAATTTTCTCTAATATGATAGATATTATGACAATCACATTACGTTTGCAAAAAGCTATGCAAGATGGAAGTATGATCTCTTTTTAGCAGACGAAGGATTGAGCACAAGTAGTACGCCAGCAACTATCACCGAGGAAGTACATTCTGAGGCCACTGTTACTGTTCCAATTCCAGTGGAGGCTGCAACGCGCCCAACAACCGGCGGCCCCTCTGATTCGTTGCCAACTATGCTTACAATGCCATCATTATCTGCACTTTCATCATTTTCTTCACTGAGCACACCAGTAGAGATCGCTACTCGCCCAAGACAAACACCTAAGCCTGCAGTTGTAGCTCCTGTACCATCTTTGCCACTCGTGAAAAAATCATCTGGCATAATCGGCTCCAGAAATGTGCCCAAAAAGCCAAGAAGAAAAATTTTGAGGGGTCGAAAGGTGGATATCTCAGACTCGGATCGAGAAATTTTGGCTAAAACAACGAGGACTAGACCAGTAAGCGCTGCGGAGCGACCGCTTTACATCAAACAGCGACTGGGGTGAGTGTATCAGATTTGAACAAATTAGAAAGCATTCAGTTAGAATCAGTCAATCTGCGAAATTTTAAATCACTCTTGGCAACTCTCTTTCTATCCTGCATAGATATTACTCATAAAGCTATACTGGCGATTTCACGGCTCACTTTACAGCTTTCTTGAAAACATTATTGCACATTATTGCACTTTGAAAGTAAAGAACTTTTAGCAGTAAAAAGGGTCCGTAAAATTAATGCATGTTCCTATTGCTATGTTTAGAGTAATAAATAAAATGCGAAAACTTTCTTATTTGTGGGTGCAGAGCAAGCTGTTCAAGCTGGGTAAAACATTTGCATTCGTTCAAACTACATGATCTACAATTTTGGAACTTAAATCTAGAGATATTGACTAGTAAGGAATTGAATGTAAGCCCGAAAAGTCCTGGAACCTCAACTGCTCACGCATATTCTCAGAAAACGTATGAATGTCTGATGCGGGAGTATGTGTCTGAGCGAATTGCGAATCCTGTAAGCATTCGTGTTTCAGCGTTCCTTTATAGGCTTGTTTTGCTCTATCTAGTACTATGTTTCTCCATTTCTACAGTGGCCATAGAACGTGTCCACTTATTTCACGAATCTGATAGGATACTTTTAAAAGAGAAAATTTAGCAATCCTACAATACAACGGAAATCAGTTCATGCGTTGCGCTCTGGGATTCAGCGACCGGTATCGGTAAACGAATCTGCTTCCCAAATTATGTTGAGGAAAGTTCATCCTGACCAGCAGATCTATCACCGCACTTTCAAGGTGGGTGGTAATCTATTTAAGTATATAAATTCAAACTCTGCCGTTACCCAGATTGATCGACCAAAACGAATGCGGGTACGAGCGAAGAACCAACGAGGTATTGCTGCTCGACAAGGAGGATCAGCTACGAATGTTCGTTCATCTTTCCCCATACCTGGGTCGTCGCATTTGAATTCTGCATCACAACTCATTATAACATCTCCTTTGCCACCAAAATCACCACCAACGCTAAAACGAGTAGCCGTGCAGCCTTATTCACTAAGTCGTCAACCAATATTTGGCGCATCGCATCAACAAGTCCCAGCAGTTCAACATTCCCTCAGCCCAGCCCCGAGAGCGGATCAGGCAGCAATTACCCTCGATCAGCTACCGCAGAGACTCTCCATTGCTTCACCCTTAACAAGAACTATGATGCCGCCACTAAATGCTGCAGTCAAACTACCTCTGACAAAAATAGAACCAACTAGGTGAGTTCTAAGTTTGGAGCTTACCAAAAATAAAATCAAAATGAATCACAAGACGTTGTTCTTAATAACACTTAGAAGGAATCACTCTTATAAAGAGAAATATTGTCCATTTAATAGGATTTGAAAAGCCTTGAAACATAATTTATATTCACATGTCTTACGCCATCCCTCTTTTTGAAATTTTTTGCTTTTTTTATCCGACTCGACCACAGGCGGTGAAAATTACCTCTTTTATGGTTTTTCAGCTCTATTATTACGCTTCTGAGCAAAAATTTTTCACAGCAAAGTTGGCAAAAGCATTGCTGAAAAATTATCTCACGCTCTCGAATAGAAAACTAATCTTTTGGATAAAGATGAGGAGTGATTATCGGACTCAAAGAAACACAAGCTTTTGTTCGATTGTGTCTTGTAAAAGATTGGAAATGCCATTTTGATAAAGAACCATGCTGGCGTACCATTTGTTACTAAGCTGAGACGACTACTTACTCGTATTGGCTTAAATTTTATTCTCTGCTTTTTGTCTGAAAAGATCACTGGCTTAGAGATTCGCAAACTTGGAAGAGCGTTCAGATCTTACAGGGTAAATCTAGCAAATGGAAAAATGAAACATAACAATGACACCAGGGGTTTCAAGGGCATATGTCAAGTTGAACGATAGCTGCTGGTACCAGTGGCGCGCGGGGTCATGAACTGGCAATAACATGTTCGCTCGAAGCTCCGCCCTACTGCGGCGGACGAGTTTCTCGGACGATACCGTCAAGTTAAAATAACTTTTGATAGTGAGATATAAGCTTGTTGCAAGCTGGGGTGAAGCTTAACTATTTACAGAATCTTGTTTTGATTTTTTGTTTCTCTTTTTTGGCAATCAGTGAACAGCTGATGTGTTGGTTTTGAAATTCGAGAGATTTGCTGATTTACCTATGATTGACCGAGTGACTCCTGAATATCCAACTTTAAAGTGCGAAATCAATCTAGAACACCTCAGGCATGATTGTCTGAGTAACCTCACATCTTGGAGTAGTTCACACGTAACTTCGATTGAGCTACAGATCGATTTATATTGAGGATAGCAGTTTTTGGAAGCAAAATAAAAGAATTTGGTTATTTAAAGCAGATTCGAAAATATTATTAGGTTGTCCCGAAAGTTTTGTCGGTTTTTTCAAACCACTGTAAAACCACGTACAATGAAGGCCTGAGCGAGTTTTAACATGCATTCGATGCAGCTTTTCCTTCTCTTTCTTATGGATAAATTTTCGTACCATAATCTTGTACGCTTTTTTTGATAAATGCCAAAATTCTCCCCCTGTCAATTTTACCTGCTCAAAGTTAGGCTAATTTTTGAAAATTTCATTACATAATATCGAAAAGGATCAACTATGGATCAAATAGAGCAACTTTTGGACTAAAAGATAGTTTTTTATATTCTCCTAAACTGCTGATTTTAGCTTCAAAAAATTATTTTTCCGGAGGTCTCGATTTTTGGCAAAGTCATGAAACACGCAACTGCATAAAACCCGTGAAAGCTTCTGAAGTTTCTGCGTACTGAAACATAATTTTTACTAAACATTATTTAAGCAACATAACCAACTTGGATTCGCTTCGAAAAAGCAGCTTTTTGGAATTTTTGGTACTTTTACGTGTTGAACTTAATCAAAAAGCCGCGGTTTTTTCGAATAAATAATTATTACGGGACTTGGTAAACGCAATTCATGTAATCTAAAATGGATGCAGTGTAGCCAAAGGTTTGCTCCACATAACAATCACCAGCGCTCTTTGAAAACATCAGATTAAAAAATTCTAAAATTCAGGAAAGATTTGACGTTACCGTAAAGCTGCTCGAAAAGCTATGGCAATAACATTGCAAAGACAGGGTAGATCAGAGAGCAGGTATAACTGTAAGAAAGAAAAGAAAATCTGAATCAAATGGTGCCTGAGCCGTTTATGGATTGATGTTCTGTGAGTTCTAGTGAGCGATAAAAAAACCGACAAAACTTTCGGGACAACCTAATATATAAGTGCAGTATGATTTTCCTGAAATCTGAGAAAGTTTATGTGATATGACCGCATATTTGCAAAACAAGTTAGTTTGCTTGAAACAAAACTCGCCTGTAATGCTTGTTTTGAATTCTCGTGGCAATAAAATTTGCTTCCAGCTATGATTAGAGTTTTAATACTTACTTTTCCGATAAAAGAGATGTGTTGGCCATTTCAGCAATAATAACAGTATTGCTCAATAAGCTGACTTTTTTTCGAGCTAAACTTGAGAGTGCACAACAAATCCAATATGGTAACAGATGTAAAGAAAAACACTTTTTCAAGCATTTTCAAAACATCCTCATACCTGCAACGAAAGATCATTTTGGATAAGCCTACTAGGAACAAATAATTGAAATACATTAGAAAGAGCTTGCGAACTAATTTTATAATGAATAATAATCTGAAAATGATTTTCAGTTTTAACTGAAATATTGAAATCTACTGTTATCCAAATTGCAACCAACTGAGAAGCATGAACGAAGTATCAGAGAGTTTTTTGATATCTGCAACGCATTCCTAGGCTAATTAAGAAGGGGGCGGAGCGGTCAGCGCACCGTGTATGGCGGCCGGCACATGTAATCGTTCATCTTAACCGCCACCCGGGGTTTCAATGCTTGCTGCTGATTATGAACCTACTTTTTGATATGCTTAAGTACTTTTTGATAGTTATTAGTGTTTGGATGTCTGAACTCGTTAGAGTCTTAATGAACAAAGTGCGACAAAGTCATTTTGAAATGCACGGCTAACACTGGCCGTATTCATCAACGAACCCTTGAGCATAGGGTAGGGTTTACCATGGAATGCGATCAACCCGTATCAATCAATGAACCTTGAAGGTAAATTCTACCCTTGAGGGAAGAATTTACCCTCGAGGTCGTTGAACCCGTATTCAAGAACGTGGATCATCAGGGTAAATCTAACCCTAGCATAGAGCAAGATTAGATTCACTCTTACACGTACGAACATCAAGTGATCTAGTAGTTTTATGAGTCAGTATGCCGAACCCAGGTTAGTACGGTGGTATCTTTTATTCGACCTTACGTTTCGGTCGTCGTCGTCTTCGGAGGTCTTTGATCCACCGCGGTGTTAGTGAGAAGTCAGTTGCCGCACAAATGACACGGACGACACGAGTGTCGTCTAACCTGGGTTCGGCATACTGACTCATAAAACTACTACATCAGAATGCCCAGGTTCAGAGAAGAGAGAACTTGGAACTTACTATCAAGTGATCTCTCGATGCACTACTCAGGCTTAGTGATACTGTTTTGACAAAAAACACATGTTTATATTTACTATTGAGTCAAAATTCTATGACCTCTATTCGTGCTTTTATTTGTTGTTCATATTCAGCCGAAGGTCACATCAAAAGATTTAGTTTTAAATGAAGTACATGGCCAACTGAGGCTCTGATATGACGGACGCAACTTTAACAAAGCACGGCTGGGGCTCCCTCGATCGATTTTAGAGTTCAACAATATCAACAATTTTAGTATTTGTTCTGTGCCGTACAGGTTTTTTATAGTAATACACTTTATTGCCTTACGTTTCGGCTACACGCCGTCATCAGAGGCCTGAAAGGTGTCAGTTACAAGGATGTCTGCTCTTGACCGCCAAAGGTAGAGAAAAAGGTAGAGATAGAGAAAGGTAGAGCACGAAGGAACGGATTACGATATAAGGTGCACAATACTAGCCTATGAAAGTGGAATAGCTGCGCGAAAGGCTTTGGAAGCGTCTTTCATTCTTACGCGTGATCCCAAAATGAACACCAAGAATGAACAGTTATCCATTACCGCTGATCTCATGCCGTATCTTCCGTTTTGCGAGCTATAGATCGTCTAAGCGTATATAAGCAGTTATGTGACATACACACTGCTCATTCTTGTGTCACCACAATCGAACGGGCTCGTCTAAAGCGGTTGCACACTGCAATATCGGTAACGCACTGGCGAGTGAAAATCATGGCCCAACCTCCTTCTTCCACACTAGATAAATCGATTATGCAAGTGGGAAGAGGTGTTTGGCGGTCAAGAGCAGACATCCTTGTGACTAACACCTTTCAGGCCTCTGATGACGGCGTGTAGCCGAAACGTAAGGCAATAAAGTGTATTACTATAAAAACCTGTACGGCACAGAACAAATACTGAACTTATCTTTCAAATGCCCAGGTTTCAAGATAAAAGGACTTTCAAGATAATATCAACAATATTTATGATTATACTCGTAACTCAACCAAAAACGCTTTGATTTAAACAGTACAACAGTTCGACAATAAAGTACTAAAGAATTTTACCCTAATTTTTATAATACGATTAGACAAGATAAAAGAGGACTCAAAAACTTAAGATAAAATCAATTAGAAATATGTGTTTCTTGTTAAATAGTATCGTTAGGGTAAGTAGTGAATCGAGAGATCACTTTATGTTTTGCAAGGGTAGAGTTAACCTCGTTTTGAGCTGGGATAGTTTAAACCCTGATAAATCACGTTCATATTTACGGGTTAGTCGCTCTCGGGGTAAGTTTTACCTCCACGGTTATTTCAACCCTCAGGGTTGATGAATACAGGTTAATCGTTTCCGGAGTAAGGTTTACCTTCAAGGGTAGATTTAACCTTCGGTGTTAAGCCTACCCTGTTCTTCGTGGATACTGGTCAATCGCTTTCCAGGGTTAACCTTACCCTCCAAGGTTAGTTTAACCCTTCAGGGTTCGTTGATGAATACGGCCGCAGGAAAGATGCAAAGATAAGGAAACCGCAATAAGTGTTTGAATGTATTATTGACAGGCTTGGATTAAAGCTTAGACTATTTCAAAACATAGATCGGGCATAGAAAGCAGATCCGTCAGCTGTTCAAGACCTGATCATAGATATTCCATCGCCAGTGCGATTCTTCCCCTTTTCTGATCGAATGACATTTCGTTGCGTGCACGTCCCAGCTATATTTCATTCGTTTACAACAATTCTACCATCCTGATGTTCGTCGTTGGCCATATTCATGAGAGTCAGGCACATAGCGCGTATCTGATGGTTTTTTGGTCCATCCTTTTTACAAACACCTCTAAACATCTCTTGGAGGAGTCCTTTGAGGTCGTTATGTCGCAAAGCATACACAATGAGAAGAGGCCTTTGTGATAGAAGTGTATAAGTGCGCAGTTCAAAATTGGCTTCTTGTACTATGACTCTACATTGTTTTTGCGACCCAGTCCTTTTCCCTTTTTCTGAGAACCTTGAACATTGTCTTTGCTTCAATGCTACTCTTTTGACTTTAACAACACTGAAAACACGGATATTTGCCATCTTGTCAAACTCCCTTTTTAAGTATGGTCTGGGAGTTCAGACAGTTGTATCTTATCGTACAGTTTTGAGTAGCTGGCCAATGTCCTCGTATAAGGTAATTTACCCTGTAACCGACCTGCAGGGGTGCTGACTTCGAGATACCAGAAACTTTATTTTGATTGAAGAATCTCAGCACTAGGGATTTTCTTCTGAGAATTCCACGATTCTTTAGCGTCTTGATGTGGTTTATGCTGCTAAGTTGGAAAAGGATACTGAGCCGCAATGACAGGAGTGAAAAGAGCGTTAGGTAATTTCCGCTAAGCGTATCTGATATCTGTTTCGTCTATATGCTGAACGATTCTGTGGTAGACATTACAAGAAAGGGATTACTTCCTTATAATTCTTCTCAGAGAGTCGTTTAGCAGATAAGGAATATCAAACACTTATCAGCGCATCATGTGACCCTCATGCTGATGGCATATAATGGAGAAGGCTTAACACTAAACTGAAATGCAAAAGTGGCTAACATCATGGCTTCCGAAGTTGACAATCACCATCAAATTTCGGTCATACTTTTTATCCAGGATTTACGCTTCCCCCTTTGAATAACTATGCTAATCTTCAGTACAACTATCTCGAGTAATCTATCTCATCGAAAAACCTAATCAAATACAATGTAGGCTTTCTAACCACTCATCAACTAGTTGTTCTAATGGAGACTGCTCAATGGTTTTGTATAGTATAATTATAAACAGATCCACGACAGCTATCAACGAAATTCGATACACAATCTTTCAAGTTGCTTAATACTGTACAAACATAAAAGCGATTTTCTTTGATACTGCATTTTCAAAACCCATGCTGCTGTTTGTCAAGGCTGAGGACTATAGTTGGATACAGATTTGCATATATTCTGTTCTTTGAGTCAATCGTTGCAGCCATTTGAGCATTTGTATGCAAATAGTCACCTTTAACAACTTTTGTTTATCTTATATATAAAGCTGAATGTCTGTTTGTATGTCTGTCTGTATGTATGTATGTATGTATGTACGTATGTTCCGAATAGAAAATTCATTTCTGAACCGATCCGGACCAAACTTGGCACACATACACTACGGGCCCCGGCGGGTGTCATAGGCTACTTTTCGTCATCGATCGATATCGATTTTATCGATTTTTATCGATTTTTTTGCTGAGTTCACCTACGGGGCTGGGAGTTGGCACAGGGGGGTAATCGAGCATGGGGATTCCGAATACAATATTGGTTTTCAGGATTATCGATTACTTTTATCGATTTTATCGATTTTTTTGCAAAGTTTGAGCTACGGGGCTGGGAGTTGGCACAGGGGGGTAATCGAGCATGGGGATTCCGAATACAATATTGGTTTTCAGGATTATCGATTACTTTTATCGATTTTATCGATTTTTTTGCAAAGTTTGAGCTACGGGGCTGGGAGTTCGCACAGGGGGGTAATCGAGCATGGGGATTCCGAATACAATATTGGTTTTCGGGATTATCGATTACTTTTATCGATTTTATCGATTTTTGCAAAGTTTGAGCTAGGGGGCTGGGAGTTGGCACAGGGGGGTAATCGAGCATGCTGATCATCCCCAAGGGGGTGATCAGCATGCTCGATTACACCCCTGTGCCAAATTCCATCCCCCTAGCTCAAATTTTGCAAAATCGATAAAATCGATAGAAGTAATGGATAATTCCAAAAACTAATATTGTATTCGTAATCTGCATGCTCGATTACCCCCCTGTGCAAACTCCCAGCCCCGCAGGTCAAACTTTACAAAAAAATCGATAAAATCGATAAAAGTAATGGACGATCCTGAAAACTAATATTGTGTTCGTAATCAGCATGCTCGATTACCCCCTGTGCAAAATCCCAGCCTCGCATGTCAAAATTTACAAAAAATCGATAAAATCAATAAAAGTAACCGATAATTCTGAAAACTAATATTGTATTCGGAATCCCCATGCTCACTTCCCCCCTGTGCCAACTCCTAGCCCTGTAGGTGAACTCTGCGAAAAAATCGATAAAAATCGGTAAAATCGACATCGATCGATAACGAAAAGTGGACTGTGACACGCGCCGGGGCCCGAAGTGTATGTGTGCCAAGTTTGGTCCGGATACGGCGGAGCCGGGTAAGCCAGCTAGTTATTGATAAGCCCGTGCGATTGGGGCGTAATGAGTGCTGTGCGATCGCCATTGTAAACGCTCATCATAAGAAGTTTTCTACAACACTAAAGTGTAAAAGCTTTTTACGAGAAGTGATCTGTAAAAATGAATATCACATAAATACTTCTGCAAGATTTATAGAATTTACAGTGAAACCGTGCAAAGGCTAAGCGACTGGGATCGAATTCGAGCAGAGTTTTTGAGAATTAAACGCCAACAACGAAAACTTCGAAGGAAACAACGCGAAGAGCGCGCTCGTGCTGCGGCTGGAGTAAAAACGCTTACAGGGGACCGTGTCCCTTCAGCGGTAGGAGAGCGCACACATAATCATCGCCATCCCCACAATGGCGAAATTGCTCGAGGAGTAGTGGTGAGTCGTCGAGGTTATGCTTTTTATCAGCTTTTTTGAGGATGTTTAAGAATGTTTCGTTTTTCAGTGGCGAGAGATTGACTCAAACAGAGATTCCAGGGCGCTTCGAGTCGACGTTGATCCTTCTCGACGAACTATCGATCGGGATGCAATAGTCAATTTGTAGCTGCTGTCTTTTAAATCTTTCTTATCGTTTGCTCGCTTGCGATAGAGAAGGCGGAACACTGCACACGTACACGCGCAGCGGATTTTGATAGCGAGAAAGTACAAAAATAAAGCTTCAAAACGGGGTTTAAGCGATAGATTAACCGCCTGCTGTGGTTCGCGTACTCTAGGGCAAGAGAGCACCCTATATTAATATTTTATATTTGATCACAATTGTGCCTGTTTTTTCTAAATTACATTGTATCTACCCAAGTCGTTATTGATATCGTCTGTGATGAATTTGAAAGATCTATCAAAGCAATATTGTATGAAGATGTCAAATGCTCAAAGTTGTTTCGCCAACGTGTTTAAATTTTTTATGAGAGGATCGTCGTTGACAGCAATCGTACCGCAAGTTGCAGACAGTGATTTAGTGTTATTGCGACTGTTTTCTCAGTCTCTCATTTCACACATAAGGTGCTGTCTATATATGTATATGTTTGTACATTTTGGATTGAGGATTTGATTTTTCTAGTACGCTAAATTTTCCAGATGAGCAGCGGAGAGGCGCGAGCAACACGCATGTCGAAATATCACTTGCCATAATGTCAATGTGTTTTTCTAAATTTATTTTTCAAAGTGCGTAGAGCAAGGAAGAATGATACGGAGACCATAATGTGTAAACCGGATAGCAAACATGTCTGAATTCAAATTCTTTACATTTTAAGATTCAGCTTTTTAAACTACCAAGTTTTTCTTGCAAAACTTCTCCCAGAGGAGTCTCGGAGACATAATATAACCGCAACTTCTCGACTCAGTTCAATCAGTTTTGATAAATATTATTGAGTATATGTGTGCCATTCTTTATAACACAAAATCACCCACTTTTGCCCAAGCAAAAGTGAGTGCGATAAAATTCTGTTTTTGAGCGAAGCTGCTCAAGACTTTGTAATATTTCGATCGTACTAGCCTATTTTGCGCGTGCAAGACAGTATACCACTAAGCAGTCTGTTAGAAACTCGCATGATTTTTTATTCTATTTTATAATGGTTCTCTTCACAAGTTCTTGTCTGAGTTAGCGACTACGATTTGAAAAGCAGCGCAAGGTTCACCAGTTTGACTCAAATATCAGTAGTATCTCCAACCTTCTTGAAAACATAACCAGTCAGTGATTTTTTCTAGATTTCACTATAAGCTTCTTATATACTTGCTTGTTTTGAAAGTTCCGTCCGATTTTCAGTCGTTTTGTTTCAGCGCAGCTACCTCCTTAGAGTTTTCCCCTTAGTGCAGTATTATGAGTAGAATTTAGAAGCATTTTTCTTGCATTTTTCCAATTAGCAAGTCTCGATGAAATAGCTTTTCAGTGGTAAAATTTCAAGGCCCGAGCTCAAGTTATCAAATGCAGTCATGTTAGGGAAAAGATTTTATGGAGAAAATTCCCGGAGCGTTCGTAAAGTTGTAAGAATAAAATATTTTATAATGACTAAGGGTGTAATGTGCTAATAATACGCACTTTTCCTTCTACACATAAAATGTCTTACTTTTTCAAAATTTTCTTCAAAAACAAAGACAACTCATTTATTTGATAAGGGACATTAATTTGTATATAGCGACAAGTGATATATTCAATATTGCATATTTAAGATAAAGCGATAGCAAGAAAAAGGCGAATATCGGGATCGACATGCTTGCGCGCGCAAGGGAGGGTTCGAATGATGACTTTTTTGATTTGCTCGTAAAATTTTTCAAGCAGCAAAGACAGCTCAAGACTTCTCTTTGGCAACTAAATAATCTCTGAAGTGTGGGCTATTTGATGATGGCAGCCGCAAATTTTGCTCACGTGTACTTCTGGCTGGGTTGATAACGTAAATGAGTTCAGAGTTTTTCAGAGTTTCACTTCACTCTCAGGAGTTGCAGAAGCTGGAAATGCATCAGTTAGTTTTGATGTTATCATCACGAGTTTCTCAATAAACGAGTTTTATCAGCAGGCAAAGAAGAGTTATGCGTAATACGAATCAGTATAAACTTAATCTAAACCTGACAGCGAAGCGGGAGCAGAGGGTAACGTTATCAAATGCAGTCATGTTAGGGAAAAGATTTTATGGAGAAAATTCCAGGAGCGTTCGTAAAGATTTAAGAAGTCAAGCATTCTCTGAAATGCAAAGAAAGCAGATGTTGGACTAGTTCGCTTTTGATAAGATGACGTAGATGCGTGACTACAGGCGCTATCAGTTCAAAAAATGAAGTGTCTAAGAACTGCTCTTGACTGCATTTTAGAGACAGGAAATTGCTTTCTTGCTTGAGTGAAAGACTATTCAGCTGAAGAGCCTGACTTTCTCTTTAAAGGCAGTGTCCGGGCAAAAAGTCGATTTTGAGAGCGATCTTCCCAACTTCTCTAGCGCCCTGAGATCTCCACCAGCCAAGTGCGAATGTATGACTTGAAATCGGAACCGAGAAGATCGCTCTGGAAGCTGAGAGCGTGAATTCACAGTGGGGAGGACCCCGCCCACCTGCTGATTTCCTTCCCGTATTAGAGCCGTTTTTCGCCGTTTTCGCGCTCTCCAATGTGCATTTTTGAATTCAGCGTAGCGAATAGGTCCGGGTAAGCAAAAAATCTCAAGATCGAGTTTTTGCCCGGACACTGCCTTTAAAGCTGAGCAGTAAAAGACAGTTTTTGATTCAGTTAAAGACATTGTATTACAGAACATGTTAATTCATAGTCATGCGAGGCTGTCTGAGAGCGACGGCTCGAAACTTGATGAAACTTGATGCCGTCTTCTAGTTTGTACTATGCAAATCACAATCTTATATATAAAGCTGAATGTCTGTTTGTCTGTCTGTATGTCTGTATGTCTGTCTGTCTGTGTGTACGTATGTTCCGAATAGAAAATTCCATTTTTGAACCGATCCGGACCAAACTTGGCACACATACACTACGGGCCCCGGCGGGTGTCATAGGCTACTTTTCGTCATCGATCGATATCGATTTTATCGATTTTTATCGATTTTTTTGCTGAGTTCACCTACGGGGCTGGGAGTTGGCACAGGGGGGTAATCGAGCATGGGGATTCCGAATACAATATTGGTTTTCAGGATTATCGATTACTTTTATCGATTTTATCGATTTTTTTGCAAAGTTTGAGCTACGGGGCTGGGAGTTGGCACAGGGGGGTAATCGAGCATGGGGATTCCGAATACAATATTGGTTTTCAGGATTATCGATTACTTTTATCGATTTTATCGATTTTTTTGCAAAGTTTGAGCTACGGGGCTGGGAGTTCGCACAGGGGGGTAATCGAGCATGGGGATTCCGAATACAATATTGGTTTTCAGGATTATCGATTACTTTTATCGATTTTATCGATTTTTTTGCAAAGTTTGAGCTAGGGGGCTGGGAGTTGGCACAGGGGGGTAATCGAGCATGCTGATCATCCCCAAGGGGGGTGATCAGCATGCTCGAACACCCCTGTGCCAAATTCCAGCCCCTAGCTCAAATTTTCAAAAAATCGATAAAATCGATAAAAGTAATGGACGATCTTGAAAACTAATATTGTATTCGTAATCTGCATGCTCGATTACCCTCTGTGCAAACTCCCAGCCCCGCAGGTCAAACTTTGCAAAAAAATCGATAAAATCGATAAAAGTAATGGACGATCCTGAAAACTAATATTGTATTCGGAATCCCCATGCTCACTTCCCCCCTGTGCCAACTCCTAGCCCTGTAGGTGAACTCTGCCAAAAAATCGATAAAATCAATGAAAGCAATCGATAATTCTGAAAACTAATATTGTATTCGGAATCCCCATGCTCACTTCCCCCCTGTGCCAACTCCTAGCCTTGTAGGTGAACTCTGCCAAAAAATCGATAAAAATCGGTAAAATCGACATCGATCGATAACGAAAAGTGGACTGTGACACCCCCGGGGCCCGAAGTGTATGTGTGCCAAGTTTGGTCCGGATACGGCGGAGCCGGGTAAGCCAGCTAGTCGTTTATAAACCGAAAACTAAGATTAAGTTCAAAGGCAATGGCAAAGTATAGTGCTGAAATAGCTACACAATGCTGTTACTAAGTTGAGTATAAATAAGTAGAACTTTATCACGAAGCAGACATAGTACTTAATCAACTACCTGTTCATATAAAACTCCACATTATTCACGATTTTGCGTTATACAATAGCCTATGAAAAAATTATGTACATACTGAAATCTGTGAATGGGATCACAGAAATCATGGGACCCATCGTTGAGTAAAATTGCAATTTGCAAAATGCTGAAACCAATCTTTGGATTCATGTCAAATTCGCCGAATGACTTAGGAATAACGTTAATTTGCCAAGCCTTATTTCGAGGTACAGCACTTTTCCGCACCCTGTAGAAATTAATCTTGAATCATCCGAATACTCATCAATATATTAGGCTGTTTTGAAAATTCTGCCCATTGTGTATACCTCTTGTTTTGCCCTAGAAAACAATTTTTGATAAGCATTTTTCGTTTCCCATTCCTCAATCAAATGTTCCTTTTCCTCTCCGATTTTTAGCTGTCGTCGGGCTAGTAAACGCCTTAACATTTTTGTGTCAGTCTAGTACTGTCAAAGATTCGCCGTTTGTGAAATATTAGTGTTCACAACGGTCGTTTTCAAAAATGGCATGGTTGAACGAAGTTTAACTCAGAAATTGGAGAGAGCTTTTAAAACAAAACATACATTTTTGCAAAAGACAAAAATACAATTTTTTCCAATATGATCACTGTCAAAATACTCCAGATCGTATAGCTTGTTCACAAAAACAAGGCAACGGCTCTATCTATTTAGGGTTCTTTTTCTACGTTGTCGTGCAAACTATTTCCAACTTTCATCGAAACCTTAAACAGATCCGCTGAATGCGCAAAAACTCAAGTTTCATAGCGCCTTACGTCTGGAACCAGCTAGAACATGAGAATTGCTGTTCTCTTGAAACAGGCTACTAGCGCTCATCTCTACTTGAAAGTAAAAACTATCCCAGCTAATCTATATAGACTGATTGT